CGTTCAGTTTGTCTGCCGGGCACAGCTCCAGCGCACGACCCATAAGCGTGAGCTTCTGTTCAACGTCCGGGAATTCTGGATGCCGCCCAAGCTGGAAGCAGGCGAGCCAGCAAACTTCGCTGGCCTCCTGGAGTCGTGGGTCCTCTGACCCTGATGATGGAATAGCTGAGCGAAGCTTGAACACTACGTCGATCATCTTTTGGTTCGTGTCAAAAGCCCGAGTAAAATCCTCCGCTTGTAATGCGGCGTCAGATATCATTGCGAGAGTCTTCACCTCTGCAACAACGTCGTCTCGGAACCCGAGTTTGTGAAGGAGGTCAAGCATTACTTGTGTATGCTTATAGGCGTCTGCATTGCTCGAAAGGACCCGGGAGATCAGGGACAGGCGGTCTTTAGTGAGTCGTATCTCAATGGGTAAAATGGAAATTCCTGGTCGAGACATGACATTGAATGAAGAGAGGCGGGATGTGGCTTCGATGAAATCTCGCTCCTTTGTTAACTGTTGAGATGGCGCAGGAACGTCCAAGCTAAAGGGAGTATATGAGTACCTGGTATCCTCCGGCATTATGAGAGCTCACCAGTCATAGGCAAGCTTCATGTCGCCAACTTTGTAATTAGCGGAGCTTGCGTTATCATAAAACTCGCGAGACGCGGCAAGGCAGAGATCTTCAATTTTGGAGGATTTAAGGGCTAGCTTGCTGTGCTTGGAATGAATAAGGTCTTTGGCGATATCAAATCCTGATTGACGGTTGAGCATCGAGTCAAGACCAAAAGCTGGTATACTCACGACCAGAGCTCAGAAGCCCGCTGAAAAATATGGATGACACCTCTTCTTCCGTCAAAAGTCCAAAGGCACTTGGTACACCAGATTCATTCCTTCCACAAAGTTTTAGCATGTCATCAAGCAACCATTCCCAGTCCTCCATCTCGCCAAGTTTGTCGGCGGTGGTACCAGTACGACGAGCCATCCTGTTGGCCCAAGCACGCTGTTCTGTGGCATTGCCTGCGCTCTGGAGGAACCAGCGTAATGGTGCGGGAACGTTCCACCGCGCAAATATCTCTCCGGATTCAAGATGGACGTCAAGAATATCAAGGGCACGCGAAAGCGAGGCGACTGGAAGAGGCTTGAAGAAAAAAAGTAGATCTGCAGCGCTACACCGAGGGTGCGCTGTAGATGGCGTCACGAATTCCCCAAGAGAAACGATCGTAGCATCTGCTTCATCTGCTTGGTCTTCGGGACTTGGGCCAATGTCCCATGCGGGAAGGCACTCAAAAATTCGGCTCATTGTGACCCACTCGGTGAGGCTGTTGCTGCCGTAAAGGCAAGCCAGAGCAAGCCGTGCAACGTCCTCATCATTCTTGATGACCCTTTGTGGTGGAAGTAAAGTCGGTTTGGAGGCTTCACTGACTGCCGCGACAATATCCAACGGTGCACCAAGAATGTAATTATGAAGAAGACGGTCAGGAAGGTCTGGGTCAGGCTGACCAGCTCGTTCCGACCGCGACTCCAAAACGAAGAGATAGGGCATGATGAACCGCGAGATATCCTTAGCTACGGTGTCTGTTGTTGAATGAGCTAGGTATGCACCCACGACTTGGGACGGTTCCATGCTACGCCAGCGCGCTAAAGTCCAATCCTCATCATCTTGAGCCCACGCCTGAGGAATGTCGTAAACCAACCGGGTCATCAAGCTCAGATCTTCTCCTAGCTCGTCAAGGTCTGGGATGCCTAGCGAGCCACCATGCTGCACAAGGGAAAGTGCTATGTCTAGCATCCCTGTCGATGATATGACCTGGTCGACACGTCTCCGGTACCAACCAGTCAGTTGCTGTGCAGACAGCAGCTGACCTTCTTGAGAAGTAACGTTGGCTGAAGAGCGATGCAGGGCTTCGAATTCAGCTGAGAGCTTCATTTGTGCAAGAGCCGCTTGAACCTCTCTTGACTCTACCCAATCTTCTTCTGTCCGCCATTTGTGTAACGGGCTTGCGAGCTCTTTGTCTGTGGCCACATCATAGGCTGGAAGAACGTCATGGTAGTCGGAAGGGTTAGAGTGACACGGTATGCTTTCCAGAATGGTGAAGCGGGATGGCCACAGACACGAGCGGTGATACGTTAGAAGTGTTCGTACAGCGCCGAAACACTCTTGTGATGCATAGAAGCATGCCATATCCAAAAAGTCCTCTGTCAAAAAGTCCTGTAGCGGTATAGGAGGTTGAACAGGAGTTGCTGCGTGAGCAATGATAGAAGCTTCCACTTCCTCTTTCCAAGGGTCATCCTCCCATTCTTCATCGATGCCTGGATTGTCTTCCTCGTCTCTCTTCTTCGCCAGAAGCTCCTTATAGATCTCGGCGAAGGAATTCAGTCTGTCGAGGCGTGCAAGTAGAGCAGTCCGAATGAGACACAGTTGAGCATCTTCAGGTGTGTCAGTGAAGTACGCGCTAAGCAGTTCTTTAGGCTCATTTACAGCGTCAGAACTTCCAGAAGCCCTAGAGGGTAGGAGAAGGACCTCTTTGCACCTCTGCACTGCTGCGCTCGTTCGAGTGATTCCAAGCTCGATGAGGGAACGTTGAACTACTTCGTCGCTCACGAACCGGTCGACGCAGGCAGCTGCCACCCACAGGTCATCGTTGGCTGGGACAAGAGTGTCCTGAACATCGCTGACTGTAATTTCCTGGTCTTTGAGAGTTTCCCAGCGAGTATATGACGACTCAGTGGAGACCATGGTGGTAATGAGGATATGATGAACGACCTTGGGGCCTCGAGTTAGTAGTACTTGCTACACTCTGCAAAGTACGCCACGTGCATACCACCTGCGTGTGATTACATCAAGTGTTGTGAAGTTGTGATCAAACCTTATAATCAACTCGAATATTTAGTTCAGCATGAGTCAGTCTTTGAAGGCTAGAAGTTTAATTGCTGCACCTCCATCATCTCCAAACATCCATCCTAATATACCGTCACAGGTTGGAGACGGTCCCCGACCAGTGACCGTACAGCCCAGAAACCCGTATGTTTTCATACCATTTCTTTCTTCTCAAGAATCATGTTTACTGATCTGAGGCATGTATGAAATATTTATTGTAGTGTCATCGTGCCCATAAAATGAGTCTGTCCGAATCATTTGCAAGGCACTTCTCACCGACTTTCAGAGCGAGCCCTTCCGCTCAGACTCGTGACCAGTCTGTCTACCTTCCGCTACCCACCTGGGCAAGCTATTGATAGGATCGACTTGTAGGGAGAACACTCTGATGCTAGTGATTCAGAGGGTAGCAGGCCACTGACATTCAAGCAGCCACCTCCAGAAATATTATTGGATAGTCTTTCTAAATGCATCCTTGGCTGGCGCAGCGAACAAAGAGAACTTTAGTTCCTGCCTGCAAATTTTGGCAGGAGATCAGCACCCCTCCGTTATACGGAGAAATACATCTTCGCCGCATCGGAATGTACTCCCCAGTACTTTGCAGTGCAATACGCAACTTGACGAGATGATTATGGTCATCAATGTCTTGCCATGTAATGTCCCGGTACCTGCAACGCATCTTGGGGATGAGCCCAAATGCTACGCGATTATCATTAAAGTGGGCGTCAGCTACCTATCGGTATTCTCTATACGCCAGTATGACCCCTCGAAAGTAATCCACCTCGACGTTGGAAAGGAGCGGTTGTCAGTAATTTTTATATGCCTTCCGCAGTGCAAAAATCTCACCATCTTGTTTTTGTCCTTGATACCTACGACAAGGATTGTGTCAATATTTTACCCCTCGAACACCTCCAGGAATGTTAGATTACCGTGTCGTGGTTCTCCTACTGCAGATTAGACTTCCTTAATGCAATCGCTCTGAAGTGGAAACTGCCTTGCCTTCGCCGTGTCACGGGTATGAATGGCAACTCAAACCATCCCAAGTCTCACTACTTACCTCAAATTTTTGGTTGCACACAAAAAACACTTGGAAGACTTTCCATCACTGCTCCCCTCAACCGCACACAGTGAGCCATTGAACTTCTTCTGCGTTTGAAACGTGTTCAGTCGGTTATAGGCCGCTACCCTGCTGGAACACCTTGCAATATTCTCACATAGTATGACGGAACTCACAGAATCGGCCCTTGAGCCCCTTCTGGGGAATCTGGGCATGCAAAATGTCCACTGATGTCTTCTAGACCATTGTTCCTCACCTATATATGGGAGGGCTTTGTTACACAAGACTTTGCGGCGGATAGATATCTGGTGGCACCTCTCCCCAGTGCCACACAGGTGTTATGGAAGTCTCAGTGCTTTCGGAAACTCCAAGCCATTGGGCTTTTGAATCGGGCGCTGTTCAGAACTACAAGGCTACGCCTCCACATCGTCATCCCTCCTGACTCGGTGCAGCACCGCGAGACCTTGGAGTGGCGTTTTACAGGGGTCCAGAGTCATGTGCAAGATGATGCAGGACATATACGACATGGCCGCATGTGCTGGCCATGAATCGCTCGGAAGCATAGATCACACCGACATCGATTCGATGACAGGAGACTCCAACTACGACAGTGATGACGAGACATTCAAAAGCGTCTCCTTAGTATCATATTCAGCATATGACAGCGAGGGGGATCTAGAAACGGCTGAATATTTCCCGTTTGTTTGTTACGATGATATATAGAGGCCTCGAGGACGAAACGAACGTAGGTCTTGAGATGGCATTGCACATTTACCGGGACATTTCGGGCACATGGTGTTACTGCGGTCGATGATGTACTTCACGTCTTGTGACGAGCATTCAGCGCTCAACGTAAATATGTAGGATCATATCCGTACATATGGCTTTTACTTCGATAAATAGTCAGAACTTTCTTCCGTAAGGTGAAACTACGATACTTTTACCAGAGTAAAGAGATGATATGCGGTCTACGCGTGGCCAAGCACTACAAAACCACTGACATGTGAACGGCTAATCTAAGATGTGTGGGTCCATGAACCTCCCATACCAAAAGAAAGGAAGAGAAATGAAAACTGGAGCGATCAAAACAAGGTTTCCTAAGGCAACGATGTAAACAGATGACAAGCTTTTGACGTAGCATTTATGAGCTTACCTCGTCTCTTAGGTATTCACCAACATCACTAGGAAAGGATGCTTCGTAAGACACAGCAAACGTGATGATGAATAGAACCTACGCTTGATGAAAGACAATTATGGCTGTTGGGTCTAGTTTCCGGGTATCTACTGTTGACCGAGCTGTGACGCCAAAGCCCTGCCAAAATGATGAGTCTGGGCCGAAGGCATCAGAAAAGAGTACGTACTAATGGTACATCATTCATACTGAAGACTACCACCCCTTGATGTTCAGGAGTATCTTCTGTTATGCGGCCAAGATGCGCCTTCACAACATGATTACCGTACAGAAACGGCATCTCTCCGTTTGGTTTGATCCAAACCTATCGGACGTCAAAGTAAATAATTGCGTTACAAAAACTACCAGAAGGGCAGCAAGTCCATAGAACACACCTTATATTTTGCATATTGTGCAATATGGTCAAGCGCTGTTATGTGCAACTTGAACTTGCCACTTTTACTGAATTTTCCGAAGCAAGTGCCAACGCTGACGAAGTTTGGCCGAGCGACCGATATGCTCATGCGCATCGACGATTCTGAGACATAGTAGACCCTATCTTTATGCAGTCTGAAACAATATGGCTCATCCTTGCGGTCGATGAGGTGGATGAGGTTCTTTCCCTAATTTTTATAGGGTCAGTGAAGAAGGGGTATCAAAACAGAGGCGATTATACGCACGATGTAGTTTGCAAGTTTTGTGAAAACTGCTTTGCTCTCGTCTTCTGTGAGGGGACGCATTGCAAAGTTGAAGTTACTTGGAGCGAACCGTAAAGATGAGGCTAAAGTGACAGTTTGCAATGAAATTGACTTTGAAATAAATAGATTTCCGAGTAACGAGGTGAGGGGCAAGTTTCGGTTTCTCATCGGGAATGTCCGAAAGCACAGCTTACTTAAACAGATCTATGTTAGCGGTTAGATCAAGTTCTGGACGGATTTGAGAACACCGTGATTAGTACCTAGCTCCTTGCGCACCACGAGCCACGAAGATTGGCCCAGCTGACTCGACTACAACGACCGAATTGTTCGATGCTCCTGCCTTGAGGTCCATTCGAAATGTCCACACCCTCATTTTCGTCATTTCCACCCTCATTCGCCTCGTTCCCAGACCTTGACCCTGGTCCGAGTAGGAATACCCTGGACCGGACGCGAAATGAAAACTCCACAGACGCTCGGGAGAAAGATAGTATGGTTAAAAAGGACAACAGCCGACGTGGCAGCAAGAAGTTGGCAGACAAGTCTCGAAAGGACAAAAAGCATAAGACGGCGAAGCACGACCTCGAGCCGGTGCTTCCCAGGCAACACGGACATACATGGAAGGGAGTAAATATACCGGATGATGGAAAAATCAAGGCCGAGGAGGATAGACGTCTTGCTGAGAGTGATACTCAAGAAAGTCAATGGGATTCTCGCCCAGTATTTTTCTCTGATCGGAAAGGTGACCAACTAAATGTTACCTACGGCGGTATTCACGCTGGGAATATTCCCAAGTACCATATTGTAAACCGTAAGCCATCTCTCGGATGCCCTGTTGATGTCTAAATGATGTACAAGGTGGTAGAAGTATTCTTGGTCTTGATGGGGACTGGACTATCTATCGCGGAAGCAAGGGTATAGAGATAAACATAGGAAGGAGGCATAAGGTACCGTAGTCCTACATCAAACAGATGTCCACGAATGACCTTGTTTCTAGCAACCCGCCCTGACCGACTTGAGCGTGACAACATTGTTGGCAGCACCCCCGTCTCGACGCATTATTGGATCCGGGGATAGTTACAAATATGAAGAAGTGGACGGTTTCTTGCGACTGCCCTCCGACCATGGTTACAAAGCTGCCGAAAACTATCGTTCTGTAACCAGGCAGCAAGAACACCTTGATTCAGACTCTCAGTCGTCTACTCCAGATGACAGCTCAGGTGATGAGTCAGGACCCATTCTCACATCACATCAGTTATCTTTGAAGACACTCGAGCAGCAGTTAGCTGCCGATCCATCTTCAGTCGAAACATGGTTGTCACTCGTGAGACACTCGTTGTCCAACATTCCCGTCACCTCGAAAAACGCGACCAAGGCTCGGGCAGAGATAACGCTTGCTATTCTTACCCGTGCTCGTGCTTCCCATCCACACAACCGGTCATCTCGCATTCTATTCTTGAATTACTTAAGGGCAGGAGAGGAAGTTTGGCACGAAAGTAAAACCAAGGCCGAGTGGGAGGAAGCCCTCAAACTTGGCGGAATTGAAATTTGGATGGAATGGCTTGAATGGCGCATTCGTACCGCTGCCGGTGGAGCTGACACGTCAGTCATGGATGCGACGCGCATCTTAAGCGCTCTCGGTAGCTCTGAAAGCTGTGAAATTGATAAACTACGAGTCGTATGGCGAGTTGCAGTCGCATTCCAACAAGCAGGTACGGAACTACTACCGCGTTGATTATCTGTATTCCTTATCGGTCTGTTTCAGGCTACTATGAACGTACTACAGCCTTATTCCAGGCACAAGCGGAACTGTGAGTTCTGTAGAATTCCACTTTGAATGAGTGCTATTTTCACACTTGTGATAGAACATTCGAGGTGCCCCAACCATTGTACGGACTTCCCCTTGAATCGCAACTGGAATCCCTCGAAGAATTTTGGGAGTCCGAAGCACCGCGCATCGGGGAGCCTGGAGCGAAAGGTTGGGGTCATTGGATCTCATGCGGTAGACCTGAGAATTCTAGTTCCCCGTTGGAGGCGATTCCCCAGATGGACGGTGATATCCAATCGAAAGATCCGTATGTCCAATGGCATTACGATGAGTCGCGCGCCGATTGCACGTCGCGTGTGCCCGCCCGCTCCGTTGACACAAGGAGCCATTCTGACCCATACGCGACAGTTCTGCTTTCGGATATCAAGGCACTGTTATTGCCCCTCCGCACGAAAGGTGCCAAGAATGCGTTCCGCCTAATCTGGTTATCCGTTCTGGGCTTGCATATTCCTAGCCTCGCAGAAACGCTATCGCAGGGATCTTGGGATGATCGATGGTCACTCACTTACCTCTATTCTTTCTCGCGGTTGGACTCAATTTTTCCTGCTACTGCAGGACAGCGGCAGCTGATCGCTGACTCTCATGCTGGCACGCTCATAGGCAGAGAACGAGAATTTTCTAGTTCATTCGGTCCGATCAAAGAGTGGAGTCGCGATACCCTCGGACCGTTGGAGTGGGTAGGCCAAGAGAAGTGGCGCATGTGGACTGCCGTAGATCTGCAAGGGATCGACCAGGATTTCGTACGAGCTGTATTCAAGCAGCTCAGATGCGGTAGTGAGGACCATGAGTGGGGCATTTATGCATTAGCATTTGAGGCAGCTCTTGATATCAAAAGGTGCGATCCAAGTCTCTATGTGTGCGCCAATGGCACTCATACTGGCGCTCCAGTGCTCTGAAGCTCTCGCGGTCGTTTTTATCGACAGCACGAGATTCTCTACCGCACTGGGCAAGCCACGCACGTCTTGAGCGCTTGCGCGAGCGGGTGGGTGATGCCCGCAAGGTCTATCAAACGGTACTTGTAGCCTCTCAGCACCCACCCACCCAGCCTTTCGTTGGTCGGTTATGGTGGGATTGGGCTGAAATGGAATGGCTCAATGGTGACCGGAATGCGGTACTACGTGTTATCCAGCGCTCAGTCAACATCGAGGGTGCAGGTGGTATGATGATTCTTCGTGTAAAACGCACTCTCGATGATATGATTAGCTGCGCTCACGAGCAGTGGAAGGACCGGGAGGGTTGGATCAAACTGCGAGCCTTAATCGAGCTGCTTACCTCCTCATCTCAAGACGGAGCACTCACGATATTTGACTCTCACACGAGCGTTAATGAGAGCTCTGATTCAAGAGAGAGCATGATGGTAGCATCTCTTATACTATTGTACAATCATTCGGTCATGCTACGAAGTCCTACTCCGCCAGCTGTCCTGAGGGATCGATTACAGATTGCTGTCAACACTTACCCGAACAATAGCCTGGTGTTGGGAATGTTTCTAGAGGCTGAGAAGGGGTATGGTATCTGGGGTCGTGTACGGGCACAACTTGGACAAAGCACGGCTGATGGAGGCCCAAGGGAAAAGAACATTTCACGGCGCATCGCAGAAGTGTGGGTTGCTGGGTGGGAGAAAGGGCGATGGCAGAGTGAGATCGAACGGACGAGGAGCGGACTTACTGCGGCGGTGGAGAGTGAGAGGTATGTGCAATTATCCTTCTCCGGCTATCATGGGCTGACATTATTTTCAGGACGACGGGAAGCGCTATTTTATGGCGCGTCATTTTGGAATTTGAGATTCGGGTTGAGGAATTGCAAAGGGCGAAGAAACTGCTTTACAGAGCAGTGAATGAATGTCCGCTTGCCAAAGGTAAGTATACTGCGATGCTCATCAAACTATAAGCTCAAATTGATATGCAGATTTATACATGGTGGCTTTTGGGCCACTGCGTTCTATGTTTAGTGCTCGCGAGCTTGATGGGTTCGTGGACATTATGGCGGAAAGGGGTATTCGGATGAGGAAAGGTGTTGATGAATACGTTGAAAGGATGACTAGCGGAGATGAACGCGGTTCTGATAACGAAGATCTGGATGGTTCCGAGGATGAGATCGAACACGAGGCGAGGCAGAGGCGGCTACTAATGCCTTACTAGCTAATTCTAGTGTACTATTCCCGGTGTGCAAATAAACCAAGACCTTGATATTGTTTTGGTTTATTTGTGACGAGGACACCACATTGCATGACAAATAGTTACAAACATTCTCCCTCGTCTTCGGTTTTCGTTAAACGCCAGGTACTGACCAGTTGTCGTCACCCAAGGCCATTGTTCGTTCATAGGTCGCGTATGTGAATATCACCCGTCCAAATCATCTGGCCGGTATATCTTCTAATCGCCCTTCTCTCCAATTACGCTCCCTACCATTAAACATCACTGACCTTCTACTTCGCCGGCCCCGTACGGGGCTCTATAGTTTATTTACAACAAATACTGTAATCCAACATGTCCACCATTCCAGCTCCCTTACTACCGCTCGCTCGTGAAGAGTGGCCAGATGAAGACTTCGATCTACCAGATGGCGACCATATCCGTTCTCTCGACGTTGAATCCGACAAGGATGATGATGATGAAGATGAAGCTATGGATTGGGATATTGAAATGGACTTCGGGAAAACTGGCGGCGCAAAGGCAAAGGCCGTCGTCGCTAGCATGGCTGCCAGATCACACTTCTCAAGGATTGTCTCTGGCAACATGATCACAATCCGTCCTCCACTCACTTGTCAGGAGGAAGAAGACGAAGATGAAGATGAAGGTGTGTCCACTATAAAGGTCGCTGCTCTTCAAATGGCTGTTGCCAAGCCCCTTCCTTCTCCCATCGACGAGGACATCGAATCTGCCTTCGCACTTCCTTCAGACCTCACACAATTGTCCCTCGCACCTCTCTCGCTTAGCCATCGCTCTTCGAAGAACTCTTTGGAATGGGGTGATCACACTTCATCATCTCAATCCTCTGATGCATATTCCTCTCTTGGACTCGCCGATGCTTCCTCGTCATCAAATTCTGTATCCTCCCTTTCCTTACACGAAACAGAAGAAAGTGAATGCGATGAAAACGAGAGCGAGCTTGAGGGGCTAGTTGTCCCCTCCGGCCTCTTCGAGTCCAGCCAGGGCGCAAAGCATCTTAAAAAGATGCTCGAACTCAAGAAGCAGGTCCTGATAACTGATCCACGTATAAAGGTTGCCAGCCCCGACCCCGAGGATGACTTTGAAACGGGCCTCCTTATCGAGGATGATGACGATTTCAGCCCAAGCAGGCTCGTCAACACAAAGCAGAATCAGCGCTACAATCGTAGCAAAAGCGCTCCTGCTCGCGCACTCTTGCCCATACGTCCGCCCTCAAGGATGAGGGCCGACAGGGCAAAGTCACCTGTAAATCCTCCTATATCATCTGCCCGTCAGTTACAGCGCATTAAGCTTTCGTCTTCACCCCCACCCCGCCCATTGTGTACACGTGCTCTCACTTATAAGGAAGCACTTTCCGCCGCCCCTCCTCCTCCAACAAACACCTTTTTATCCCCTAAACCTGGCAGTCTCCGAGGACAAAAGTCGCATTCTGGCCTTAAACCCCCTACCCCTCCCTCTACACAACGCAAGGGGCTTACCCGCAAAGCCTCTTTGTCTTCCTTAATGGAATGCAGCACCTCTCAGGCATCAGGCTCTGGTATCGTTGTTACTGCAGGTCCATCATCGGGTAAACTTGCACGCTACGAGACACCCACGGCTGCCTCACGTGCAAAGTCACACACGAGTTCAGCCAGTCGTATCCACGGCCTCGACTTTATCGTGCCACCCACGAGGCCCTCTACCCCTTCTTCAAATCCTGCCGCACTACGCTTGACTATGCCAACTTCAATACGTATGAAGTCGCGACCTGCCTTGTCCTCTGTCTTCCCCGGACCTGCCACTGTCACTACCCTCCCTACACTTCAGCCTTCGCATCGCGCGACATCACCAATACCACCTCGCCCTCCTTCAATAATATCATTACGTAGTCGTGCTAATCAGACACCACTCGTACCTTCGACATCAGCTCCTAAACTTCTGCGCCGACCAAAGCGACAACGCACATATGGTGACGGCACTGAACTAGATGCCTTTGATGACCTCCCGACGGATCGAGATAAGGAGGGAAGATTTAGGGTACAACCTAAGGCGACAAATCGTGGGTCCGTTGCCAACTTGTCAAAGTCTTCCGACAAGGAGAAAGATAAGGAGACAGGTACGATGCGCAAGAAGGGAAGAAAGGATGTCACTAGTCCAGGTAAGAACACGTGTATTTGTGTGCTCGCCCTCCTCATATACCTTCCTATTATAGATGTGTCTGGCGCACTTGCACCCGCCACCAACACCTTGAGGCGCACGAGTCGCATTGAGTTCCCAAAGGCTTCTGGCACCGAGATTTCCATAAAGAAGAAGAAAGATGCCTCATCGCCTGTGCTTGGCCACACAAGGAGAAAACCTACCCTGATCCGCCACCTCGGCAGTGCAAGCGGACCAAAAGGTACGATAGAGTCTTAGTAACTCCTAATTTGATGTTCATGGGAACGTCAACACAGTTGTGGGTGAGATGAAATGGAATCCGACAACCCTCCGTTGGGAAGGAAATGATCAAGTGCTCCGTGATTTCGATACAGTCGTCGGAACTTCCACACGCCCTGCATTGATTACACACCTCACTGGGTCATCCATTGGATCCCCAGTAGGTTCCTTTGCCGCCGGTGCTCGCAAGGTCGGCAACATGATCTTCGACCCCACACGGATGTGCTGGGTGTCAACATTACCTCCCGATGAAGAAGAACCAGATGTTTTCGCCGATCTCGCAGATGACGAGGACGATGAGGATGCGTGGGAAGCTAAGGGAGGCACAATCCGTGCCAGCCAAGGCTGCGCCAATGGCGCCATGTCAGATACAAGCTGCTCGACGAATTCAGCTATCATCATCACCGCCCCCAGCCCAGCACGCAGTCGAATACGGACAAATTCCGAGTCGGAAAGCGATCGTGGTTCAAGGGCATCCATTGTTTATGACGTGGCTGATAATTTCGTGGAAATATGTCGTGCTGCAGAAGAAAGACACAGGCAAGAAATCAAAGGATGGCGAACGTCACGGCAGACGGATCCTTTTGGTTCGCCTGATCGACGAGAACTGTATGAAATCCGTGCCCTGGCTACCCGGAAGTATTGATATTATTTTCGTACCTTATGCTGTTCCCCAGCTGTCCCCCAGTCTCCCCTGATCGAACCGCACGACGACCCCATGCATGTCTTTGATTCGCATATTCTTTTCCGGAGTTTCTCACATTTGCCGTACAAAATTATTGGATTTGTTCCATGCCACTCCCTGGATCGTTTGTGTATCGTCGATTCGATTCGTCTTTGTTCGCCTATCTTATTACTTTTGCTTGATTCTTTTATCGTCGCTCGTTCGATTTTCCTTTACGTTTCGTCTTGACTCAATGTGTATGGGATAATATGGAATACGCTGTTCAAATACATTGTGAATAGGTCGGCAATAAATTAGTTTTCCTTAGGTTCGAACTTCATAAGCCGGGTAATCGCTCTCCAACTTTAGCCGCTGCCATTCCATGTCAACTGACGAATGTCCTCTACGACTGGGGAGAGTATTCCTGTGGGCACTGGACATATCACCTGTGATTTACATTCATCAACTGTCGTCTTTTCGAAGCTCTCGTCTTCATATCCGCTCAAGCTCTTATCGCCCAGAGTTACAGAACATGGGGTTGCTATAGTGTACGTGATGAGCTACGGTGGTGGTCTGGTTGGCGGTGACTGCATGCAACTTGTTGTTGAAGTAGGAAAAGAATGCAAACTCTTACTGCTCTCACAGGTGCGACGGATGGTGTGTATTCTATGAGGATGGCTATCTAAGACCACGTCCGCCAGGGATCCACCAAAGTCTTCAAAACGCGTGCTGGAAACAGAGCATCCACGCGTTTTCGAACATCTTCTTCCCAACCGACTCCAGGTGGTCTGAGTCTGCAAGCGGTCACAACTCAATCTATGGAAGTTACCATAGCTCCAGACAGCGCACTCTTCCTCCTACCCGACCCCGTGACGTGCTTCCGCTCTGCATCCTATACCCAAATGCAAACATTCCATCTTGCCGGGAGTGCGTCAATTGTATTGCTGGACTGGGTCACCTCGGGCCGCAGGTCTATGGATGAGGACTGGGATTTCCTTCGGTATTACAGCGTTAATGAAGTCTTCGTAGAAGGCCGCCGCGTCGCACGGGACGTTTTACTGCTAGATAACTCGTCCTATGATACCCAAACTGCGTCCGAATCCTGCTTATCGAATCCTACTACCCGCTCACCACCTCGGACGCTCAAAGATAGACTTGCGCCCTATTCATGCTATGCCATGCTTCTTCTTTACGGACCCCAGACGCATGGTATCGTGACTGACTTGCAGGCAAAATATCGCACCATTTCTATTTTCAAGCGTGCTACCCCGGAGAGGTTCCTTTGGTCCCTGACTCCCGTGGATGATGGCAAAGGCACAGTTATAAGAGCTGCTGGGGTTGATACAGAGGACGTGAAGAATTGGTTCAAGGAGGTACTTAGGGGGCTGGAAGCTGTTGTTGGGATTAATGAATATCGCAAAGCGTTCCTTTGATGCTGCACAGGATGCTGTAGTCGGAATCCGACAGCCTGAGAAGGATATTCAAGTGCATGTATACTCACATTCAGGATTACCCATGACTCCATGATAGCTGCCGCGTTCCGAGCGCACTGTTATGCGATAAGACAGTTTGATGCTTATGTTCATCATCCTCTTGTCTGATGTCGCATTCAGGATCTGTCGTGCCATTGACAACAGACAAGGTCGACCTCTATGAGGCCCATGTCGACACTAGTCAAGTCGACGAGAGACGACTCCTTCGTAAGATCGACATCCGAGTCGTGCCTTGGTTGGGGCTCCTCTATTTTCTCAACTTTTTGGATCGGGGAAGTATAGGAAATGCGAAGGTGACGTTTTCTAGCTAGCTAACTAGTTGAACTCCAAGACTCTGATTCGTTTTCAGTTATACCACATGGAGACCGACTTGGGCATCACAGATAAGCAATACCTCATTGCACTTACTGCCTTTTTCTTTCCGTATGCATTACTCGAGGTAAGGGGAATATATATGCGATGTTTGCTCGTTTTACTGACCTTATGCAGCCTGCAAGCAATATAATCCT